GAATGGAAATTTTCCAGGACCAACTATCAAAGTCCACAGAGGAGACATAATCTTTGTTGATGTCTACAACAAGGGCAACTATAATATTACTTTACACTGGTATTGAGTTTTCAATTTACAGCGATTCTGTTGAGCTGTGGAAAATACAACTTATATAATGAATTAAAACTAATCAAATGCATAACTATAACTAACTGAATTATGTACAGGCATGGAGTGAAGCAAATAAGAAATCCATGGGCAGATGGTCCTGCATACATCACTCAGTGCCCCATCCAACCTGGAATGAGATTCAGACAAAAGTTGGTTTTTTCTACAGAAGAGGGAACCATGTGGTGGCATGCTCACAGTGACTGGGCAAGAGCCACTGTCCATGGCGTTATTTATGTCTATCCAACTAACAATACTCCCAACCCTTTTCCAAAACCCGATGCAGATATTTCTATCATATTTGGTATCAAAATTACTATCATTTACCGTAGTTCTCTACCTTCCTAAAATTTAATCAAATTACTACAACATATATAATTTCATAAAAAACATGACCACATGTGTAAAAATTGTAACATTTTATTTATTCATTCATATGTAGGAGAATGGTGGATGAGTGATGTCAACGAGGTCTTCACACAATTTATGGAAACCGGAGGAGCCCCAAACATATCTGATGCTCTCACTATAAATGGTCAACCCGGAGATCTGTTCCCTTGCTCAATGCCAGGTTCCATCAAAATTTCCCTTCACAATTCACACTAACTCAAATTACCATACTATATATGATTCTTAATTTGATGCGTGTGTTTGGTTCAAATTAGATGCTTATTTGTCAAAATTAATCATTTGACCATCACGCACTTGGAAGATTTATAATAATATTATTCATGGTGTCAACTAATTAATTCTTTTGTCAAACATTTCTTCAGAAACGTTCAAGTTAAATGTAGAGCAAGGCAAGACTTATCTTCTCCATGTTGTTAATGCGGCAATGAATCTCATCCTCTTCTTCTCTGTTTCCCAACATAATCTCACTGTTGTTGGTGCTGATGGAATGTACACGAAGCCATTGACAAGGGATTTCATTTGCATATCACCGGGACAAACAATGGATGTACTGTTGCATGCCAACCAAGAACCTAATCATTACTATCTTGCTGCAAGGGCATATTCAACTGGGGTTGGTGTTGCCTTTGACAACACCACAACCACTGCTAGAGTTGAGTACAGTGGCAATTACACTCCACCTTCTTCTCCTTCATTGCCTTCCCTTCCCAACTTCAACGACACACAAGCAGCTTTTGGCTTCATTTCAAGCTTGAGAGGCTTACATGAGAGATACCCTCGTCCAGTCCCAACAAACATCACAACTCAAATAGTGACAACTATTTCTATTAACACTTTGCCATGCCCCAGTGGGAGAACCTGCTTGGGACCAAATGGAACCATTTTCGCTGCTAGCATGAACAACATAAGTTTCCAAACCCCTAACATTGACATACTGAAAGCCTATTATAACGACATCAATGGGGTATTCGAAACGGGATTTCCTAGAATACCACCCTTTCTATTTAACTTCACTGCAGACTTTTTGCCTCTAACATTGAATATACCAAAGGAAGGGACTAAAGTTAATGTGTTGAACTATGGTGCAACGGTTGAAGTTGTTTTCCAAGGGACAAACGTTGTGGCAGGGATAGACCATCCGATGCATCTGCATGGGTTCAGTTTCCATGTTGTTGGATATGGGTTAGGGAATTTCAACCGAAGCAAGGACCCCATGAATTTCAATCTCGTTGATCCTCCTTTCTTAAATACAGTGGTTGTGCCTATAAATGGCTGGGCCGCCATTAGGTTCGTGGCTACCAACCCTGGTACGTAGCATAGCTTATTATATTAATTTAATTATTAATTTCCATTTTGCATGTTTTAACTAGTCGAGAGATTATTTTTGTTGCATGAACTGTATGTGCTTTTTCAATAACAGGAGTATGGTTTATGCACTGCCATCTAGAACGGCACCATGCTTGGGGCATGGAGACAGTGTTTATTGTGAAGAATGGGAAGAATTCAAATGAAACATTACCACCGCCGCCGCCAGACATGCCCCAATGTTGAAGAATATTCTAGACTTTCTCTGTTCTATGAACTTTGATAGATTCAAAAGAATAAGTTACACATTTGTTTTACCGTATCTTTTAATTAGAAGGCATGTATCGTGAACTCAGAAAGAAAAATAAAAGGTTTTTCTATCCACGTCTGATATTAATTTATAGTATATTTAAGATTTATTTGGGTTATAATGTAATTTGGTGCGCCGTTTTTGTGTGGTTAATTGTGACATGACCGTACCTACCAAATTACAATTTACAAATCCAAGACAAAAGTGAAAGAAAGCTCCAAGCCTCCAGCTCGAAGTCATTGGTGTTTCATATGGCGTAGCACAACAACAACAACTTGATTACCAACATTAACGCCGGCAATGACAACAATAATGATACCAATTTCCTCAACATCTGCAGTGTCGCTGGAGACTCCATCATGGGCGATGGTGCCCTGCTGCACAAATCCGGTAATTTGAAGGGCGACGGGAAAGGAACTAAAATGACCCTCTACTATTAGACAGCCCAAAAAGATAATAGGGAGAAAAAAAAAACTAATTGTTTTGTTCACGTTGTTGTGTTGTTGCAATTCTGACCGAGGTTTACTTAAAGGTGGGTATATATATATAGTGAGAGAGGAGAGATTCTTTTATTTTAACTAGACTTATTCTGTTAAATAATTCATGTTTTACACTAAATTTTAACGATCCAATTAGGGGTGTGGATGGGTTTTTAAAAAATCCAAATCGAACCAAACCGATCCATTTTATAAAAGTGAATCGGTTAACCGATCCGTTTTTTATAAAGTGGATCGGTTTGGTTTTTTAAAAATATAGATCGGTTTTTTAAAATTGAATCGATTCGGTTTGATGCGGTTATCCATGTTTTACTCATATATAGATCGGTTTTTTAAAAAAATCAAACCGAACCGAGCCGAACCGAACCGATCCACTTTATTAAAATAGATTGGATAATTGAACCAATTTTATGAAGTGCATCAGTTTGGATTTTTTTTCCAAAATGGATCGGATTTTTCAATACGGATCGGATCGATTCGGATCAATTTGGATTTTTCGCACACTCCTAGATCCAACCGTTCAATTTAAAGTTCTTAATACATAGATCAAATCTGCAAATTTTTAGAAAATTTGAAAATCATTTTATACTTTGATTTGAATTAATGAAACGAAGTATCAAATGATTTTCAAATTTTCTAAAAATTTGCAGATTTGATCTATACATTAAAAACTTTAAATTGAACAGTTGGATCGTTAAAATTTAATGTAGAACATCAGTTATTGAACGAAAAAATTATATGTAAACTTACTCCTAGAGTAAAGAGATCCCTTCTTTTATATATATATA